GTTTTGCCTCTTGAGGTCATCCTGCCTTGCCAAGGATGATCCATTTTGGTGTCCATACTCTCCTCTACTGAGGAAATCTTCCACAGGGACAGTGAAATAGGAGATAACAGCTATCATTTATGGGCAAGTCCACAGAAATGCTCTTATACAGTAGACACCAACTATGCCAATCATTGTCACCTGTGGCAGGTCTCTTTGTAGTACCAAGGAGACCTATATTCTTTATGGTGATGACAAAGACTGAGTTTATTATTGCTTATTTTTATTGTTTTATATCTATAGTTCATTGCATTTTAAGGGGCCTTCAGCATGTGTCCTATTTTGGATATTAAGTTAGCCCCTGTAGGCAGAGAGGTGATGGGTCACAGTCCCTCCTTGGTTAGCAGAAGTAGCCAGCCCCAAAGAGGATGATTTCAAAACAGTAGCATAAACGGGCCACTGGGTGGACCTTCCTATTTTCTTCTCCCCTTGCAAAAGAACTGTTTCTGTCAGCCTGTGAATGAGATCAGCCTAGTGGCTAATCACATGCTTAGTAAGACTCTGGCACATACTAGTGGTCCATTTGTGGTCAACTTGAAGGAGTTCCAGCCTGCCTTTTCCCAGTGCAGCTTGGTCCACCCCCCCCCCAGCCCCTGGAGCTAGATGAGTACCCGCCATTCTGTTGGTACTAACTGTCGGAAGGCATCTGAAACCTGTGGGAATCCCCCTGGCTGGAGAGCACTGAGGAACTGAATTCCAAAGACAGAGTTTCTTTGTCTCTTTTCTTTGCCTCAGGCCAGCAGGGCGGGTTCCTGCAAGCTTCACTGTCAAAGCAGCTTTTCCCCAAACAGGCTGCAAAGCAGTCTGGGAGAGTGGAAAGCAGATTAAATTAATCTCAGTGTGCTGAGCATGGCAGGGGGTGAGACCATTTGGCCCTTCCAGAAATAGTACAAACTCTTTGTTACTAAAGCAGGTGATGAACTAGACGGCTTTGTGACAGTGGCAAAGCCTGACAGCTGTGAGCACCTACCTTCCTCTGCCCCTGGGGTTCTGTCTCCTATAATCTGTCCCAGGGTTACGATGGGGACTAGAAATTGTGGTGTCAGGGTGAAGGAGTTCTTTCGTTTGTCTTCTCATCATAAGATTAAGAAAAAAAAGTGACGATATCAAGAGTCCTTGCTTCCCATCGGTGAGCACTGATTTGTAACCTCTGCTGGCGAATGCCTGGAAGACTGCCTGACAGGGTCCATCGACAGTGCAGACCTAAGACAGGAAGGAAGGGGTTGAAACTGGGGACATGAGCCCACAGAAGGGGACAGGGTGTCAGGAGCAGTTTGGGGATGTTGTCAGTGACTGATGGGAGGTGGCAGTGATCCCAGAGTGGTAAGGAGAGTGGATTCCTTCTAGTTTAATTCCATAGTAAGTACCAGAAGCATTGGAAATCACACACTTCTTCAGCCTGAGCTCAGGCAGGCCTGTGGCTGTTCAGAAGCCAACAGTGGCCAGGTGTGGTGGTGCACAGCTGTGAGCGCAGCACTAGGGGGCGGCAAATACGGCCAAGACAAGAGGATCTCGTGTAAGGCTGGCCATAGCAACTTGGTGAGATCTTTGTCTCTAGATGGAGAGATATCTCTTTGAGATGCACATGTGGTAGGCCCTGACATCTTTATTTGATAGCCCGTGGAATAGGCTGAGAGGGCAGGACTTGGCATTATCCACTGGCTGATGAACTGTCTCCCTGTGTTTGCTCAGTGTACATGTCCGATTAGCTTGTCTCCAATCTTAAGGAACATAACCAGAATTAATGGCAGAAATTAGCAGGAAGACAGATTTGGGGCTCATTCTAAGGGATTGTACTCCCCAAGGTCGCAGTAGGTACCTCAGAATTAGTTCCTCTGTGGCTAGAAGCATTCAGACATGCTGGAGGTCCCTGGATGGGGGCGTACTGTAGCAACTGTTTGCGCCTTGGTAGAGACTGGAGCTGACCTTGTTGTCTGTGAGGCACAGTGTGTCATCCTCAGGGACTGCCCCACTGGGTTTAGTTAGGAGGCAATAGCCAACATTCTAAATGTAGCATCCAGCTTTCATTGTAAGCTTTATATTTGAACAACATTTACTCATCATTTTAAATAAAATCTGTATTCTATGTATATTTAAAATATTAGAAGGGAAAAACAAGGAGAAATGGAATGAACACACTTTAAAATTTAAAAGAAACTTAGATTGATTGTGTCGTTGGCTTGATCATGGCTATTTCTAGATTGTAAAAATAAGTTTTTTCAGTTTCTAAACATTTTTACTGAAAGAAAAACTAATTCCAAAGGGAGGATTTCCAGTCAGGGATGGTGACACATGCCTTTAGTCCCAGCACTCAGGAGGCAGAAACAAGAGGATCTTGGTGAGTTAGAGGCTAGCCTGGTCTACATAGTGAGTTCCAGGACAGCCAGGTCTGTTACACAGAGAAACCCTGTCTTAAAAAAAACAAAAACAAAAAGAAAACACGAGAAAAAGAAAAAGGGACCATCTTTGTTTCCTACAGAAAAACCAAAGCTATTAAAATTTCTTTTACATTAGCACAAACATTTAAAAGAGTATTTTTTTAAACTTGCTGGTATAACTTTGGGTCAGATACAAATTGGTTTTTAAGATTTATTTTGTGTGTGTCTGTGTAAGCATACATACATACATATATATTCAAGTGCAGTTGCACACTTGTCACAGAGTGCACCTGTGGTGGTCAGAGGACAGCTTTCAGAGTTTGTTTTCTCGTCTGTCATAGGTTCTAGGCATCAAACTCAGGTCATAGGCTTGTAGGACCCTCATTGAGCCATCTCACCCACCCCAGAAATTCGGTCGTATCTCCTCGGTGGCTTCTGCTCAGCTCTGGAATCTGCTCCTAGTAGGCTCTGTAGGAATGAGGGCTGAAGGCAGGTCATAGCCTGTCTTTTCTCATTAAGAAAGGTTGCTCCTGGTTGTCTGGATCCAGACTGCTGGTAAGAAAATGAACTCCAGGTTGGAGCTATGCCGGAGCCCAGTTGGAAATCATCTCTAGAATGTTTCTGGTTTTATTTCTTTGTGTGCATGATTGGGCACCATGAATTGCCATTTCCTGGGAATGTTTTGGGTCCTTAACATGAAATAATGTCTTCATAAAAAGTGTTGCACGCCTTTAATCCCAGCACTCGGAGGCAGAAGCAGGAAGATCTCTGTGAGTTCAAGACCAGCCTGGTCTACAAGAGCTAGTTGCAGGACAGCCTCCAAAGCCACAGAGAAACCCTGTCTTGGGAAGGAAAAAAAAGTGTTGTACAGAAATTACCTAAGTAACAATGTGCTGTAGTTTTTATTTTATTATTTCAATACTGTTTCTAACTGCTTGTCATGCACCACTGACTTATGCTTAATATGACTAGACTTGCTGCAATCAAAAATGGCTTTCCACTTTTCTCTTTTAGGAAGTTCCAGGTTAAAGGCACCTCAGCTCACTTGGTGCTGACAGAGAACAACCTTGGGAAGGGAACTAGGGAGAGGGCTCCGGGAGCAGAGGCAGGTGGATCTCTGTGAGTTCCAGGCCAGCCTGGTCTACAGAGCGAGTTCCAGGACAAGCTCCAAAGCTACACAGAGAAACCCTGTCTGGGGGGGGGTGGAATTTAAGTTTAAAATGGGTGGCAAAGCCTTACACTCCTACAACAGTGAGGCTTGTCATTCATGAGCTGATGGCAGAAGGGAGAGCAGGTGACCCACCCTGACGGTCTGGGAGAGGCACCCATCCCACTCTTTGGAGCATTGTCTTGAGTTTTTCAAAGAGAAATTAAGGTTGTCCAGAGAGGTGGAGGGTGGGTCTGTGGCTTGCTAAGGGCTGGATGGAGTGTCTACTGCACTCTGAGCAAGTGGTTATGATAAGAGCAGGGGTCACAGAGAAAAATGGCAGCTTGTACCAGCAGCTTCAACACTGGAAAAAAAATAATCCCATAACTTAGTGCAGTAGGCTCCAAAGGATGGTGTCTACTGGTGTCTCAGCCCCAAATTTCCAAGGCAGCAATTTCAGGGTGCTGTTAAAATCTGATCCTCCAAGGAGCCTGGTAGAAAGTTCCTTTAACGTCTGTCCACCAATTTGCTTTATTATACCATGAGCCTGTGTTTAGTGGAGTTTCTTGGTCTGACTTTAAATGTCTTGATCACTGTTTGGAGTTGTCTGTAAACTGAGTGTTGCTTTGTTTAACCCAGTACTGCCTGAGGCCTCAGGGGCAGAACTCTGGCCTGTTCAGCCTGTCTCGAATAGCTGTTTAAGAAACCCTGCTGGCTGCAGAGCCATATTGTTGGGGAAATGCTTGCACTTGCACTGGGTGGCGTGAACACTAAAGCTGTACCACTGGTTAGGTCTCGGGTGGGGACCACCTGGTTGGCACTGTGACGTGTGCACTGTGGATGCTGGTTGTCCATCTCCAAACTGGCCTCCAATCTCATCTCTGCCCCTTTGTCTCCCCCCTCTCCTCTCTCATGCAGAGACAGGGCCGGGTATTGTTCATGCACTGACCGACCTCAGCACCCCCGGCATGACCTCAGGGAACGGAAACTCTGCCTCTAGCATCGCCGGCACTGCCCCCCAGAATGGTGAGAATAAACCACCACAGGCCATTGTGAAACCCCAAATCCTGACGCATGTTATCGAAGGGTTTGTGATCCAGGAGGGGGCGGAGCCTTTCCCGGTACGGACTACTTCTTTTCCCCTCTTTTTTTTTTTTAATATGTTTTGGATTGTGTACTAGAATATTTTTACAGTTCCATGTAAATTTTCTGAAAATGTGAACAGTTTGCTATCTTACCTTGCTGATTTCCCCAATCTACCACAATGTCGAATAATTTCTCTCTAGAATGACTTGGTGATAAAAAAAAAAATTGACAAGACCCCCCTTGGTTAGAAGTTTATGTACATAGGCTCAACAGTATCACTGACTGGTAACCTGTGACCCCTGAAATAGGAACTTAGTTCACCTTGGGGTATTTGATGAAAGACAGTGGACTTTCGAAAATTATACTTTATTGAGTTTTCAATGCCAAAACCTGAACAGCAAAACTCTGGCCAGTTAGCAAAAGGAACCTATTAGTACAGAGTTCTCAAGCTGTGCTGGAAATCAAGATAGTGGCATGGGAGTGCAGCCTGAGATGTGCTTCTGGGAGCAGAGCCTTGAAGAGTAATCGGGGCCTTCAGAAACGGTGCGAGTGGCTCAGGAGGACTGTGTATTGGAAGCCCCATCCCCTAGGGTACCATCTGCCTGTTGCTCATGTATTGGATCTGTGGGAAGTGTTAAAAGTCACCAGAGTATTGAGCTTGATTTCTGCAGTGGGTGAACCACTTTCTGAACCATCAGCAGACAAGCACATTTGTGCCCTCTCCTTCTGGAAGTTGGCCACAGCCAGTGGCAGAGCTCCCCAGGGGCAGCTCACCTTATAAGGAGCTAGCTCTGCTCCATGCCTCCCCTCCACCCCAGTCTAGTCCTCCTCTTGCCTCTGGAGAAACCCTGAGCCTATGGAATGAAGGCAGATAGAACAGCAGCTTACATCATCCTAGAGCCACATGCCATGTGCCACCAGGTTACCCAAACAAAGCAAGGGCCTAAAGAGGTAAAGCCAACCTTGGTGCTGCCATCTACTGAGCATTCCTCTGTGGCTGGGGTCAGTTGTGTCCTGCTCTCCCCTGTGGCTGCTGCCCCTCCGCCGCAGCTGTGGTTAGGTAGAGAAATCAAAACAGGAATGTTGAGTCTTGTAAATACACTCGCACACTTAGCCCTGCCCCTCCTGGTGCTCTCTAAACACACAACCTGGCACCTGATCAGTGAGTGGTGAGGGAAATCCGATCTCTGCCCTTGTACACACCTGGCAGAATAGACTACCCCTGACTCGTCAAGCTGTCCCCGTACTGTGATGCCCACTGTTTCTTACTTTGGGAACCAGACAGCAGAAGAGTGCTCCTTGAGTGGGGCACCCTTGGATGGTGGCATGCGGGGGAGGCCTGGGGTGGTCTGATATCTGCCTGACTACTTTGTACCTGTAATTATAATAAGGCTGTGTAGCAAGGAGTCTAGGATCTAACCCTATGGCCTCCATGTCACCTGTCCTCTAGGTGGGACGCTCGTCCCTGCTGGTGGGGAATCTCAAGAAGAAGTATGCACAGGGGTTCTTGCCTGAGAAGCTTCCCCAGCAGGATCATACCACCACCACTGACTCAGAGATGGAGGAGCCCTACCTGCAAGGTATGTACTCAACCGTGGGACTCAGGGCTTCTGGTATAGGCAGAAAGGCAGGCCTCACGCTTCCCTTTTCTCAGTGTCTGTGGAGAAGCCCAAGCAGGGACCAAGCAACATTCCTTCCCATTGAACATTTCACCAGCACCTCCTCCGCCTCTGTCCCTGTAAAACAGAGACAGAAAAAATAAGAACCTCTATCCCCAGGATCTCCAGCAGCCACATGGTTTCAGAATTTCACTTCCTCTAGGAACCATTGCCAGGTTCTAGAAATGAGTGTAGGTATAACACCAGGCAGATTTCCCCCCTTTTGCTATCTCAAGAGCCTCAGTTTGAGGTGGGAAGGTCTGAGGCACAGCCTTGGCCAGACAAGGACTGCATTTAGTTTGTGTGAGCCTCCTGCTTCTTTCCTGGTCATGGAGAAGGATGCTGACTCTTCCCACCTCTGCTGTGCCCCAGCCTGCAGTTTGCAAGAGGCATCACCAGACACTCCTGGGGAACTCTCCAGTGGGAGACCTAGTTCATACAAAAATAGTGGCAAAGTGTCATTTTATAAATGATACCACTGGGTGTCATAGCCACAGAGATGTTAAAGAGGCAGGATAGGAGCCTGTCACAATCTACCCACACTCAGCCATTTCCATACTTTACAGAGTCCAAAGAGGAGGGTACCCCCCCTCAAACTCAAGTGTGAGCTCTGTGGACGGGTGGACTTTGCCTACAAGTTCAAGCGTTCCAAGCGCTTCTGTTCCATGGCTTGTGCAAAGAGGTGAGTGTCCTGTCCTGCTTCCCTGCTCAGCCCCTGTCCTGTCCTCAGGACTGTACTTAGTGTCCTCCTTCGAAATCATCTACCTTGGATGCTGTAGCTAAGGCGTATCCATCCTCCAAGCTCCTTGGCCTGCCTAGTTAAGGCACTGTATCCCAAACACACCAGAAGAAACCAGAAGAACCTCCCCTCCCTTGAGTATGTAAGAGGAAGCATCACTCACTGTCCAAGCACACAAAGTAGCCCATTAGCTGGGCCCCCAGGGCAACTGCCTCGCTCTTAGGGTAAAGCCCACCACAGAAATAGAACAGCCCAGAACCATTGCAAGCTTCTATCAAGCCTGAGAATTAATGATGATGCAAAGCCCTGTCGTTGATTGAGAAGCCGTGGCAAAGTGGCAAAGTGCTGCAGATCTGTAATTCCAGCACTAGAAAGACTGAGGCAGGATAGACTCAGGAATAAGGTCAGCCACCAGTGTGTAGTAGGATAGTATACAGTAGGGACTACCTGAGGAGACCTTGTCTCAACCCGAAACAAAAACAGACAGACAGACAGAGATAGACACACACAGAGAGACACTTGGTGCCAGGGTCCTGCTAGTCAGTTGTCTGTTTTCAGAATCTCTGCTAGGCAACTATTACTACTGTCACCATCGTATTTACTATCGTTCCCTTTATATGGGTTGGGAAACTAAGGCATAAAGGAGTAATTGTGCCTAAAGTGACACCGCTGATGAGTCATAGGGGATTTAGGATCTAATGTGCCTCTTGTTCTTTGTAGGAGCACCTCAACCTTAACAGTCCAGAACCCAAAAAGAACTCTCTAGGTTCCAGGCGGACGTGTTGTGTGTGATGCCCCAGAGTTCCTGTCCTCAGCCATGCTGCCCAGGCTATGCTGAAGGGGCCAGGGTTTTCCAGGCCACACTCCAGCAGGACAGTGGGCAGGGTAGTTTCCTAGCACCGTACATAGTGTGCAGCAGCCATACTCTTGAGTAGTTGAATTAAAAACATGTCACTAACATTCCCTCTTGTCATCATGAGACTGTTTATCACACCCTGCCTTCCAGGAAGGGCTCAGAGCTCAAGTGCCTGTCCAAAGTCTCAGTCATCAACAAAGTCCTGAAGTCAGTTTGTAGTATAGACAGACTCAGGTTGACTGGCTGTGTGCCTAGGGCCCCGCTCTGATAAGCTTGCTCCTCTCTGCAGGTATAATGTGGGATGCACCAAACGCGTCGGACTTTTTCACTCAGACCGGAGCAAGCTGCAGAAGGCAGGGACCACAACCCACAACCGCCGACGGGCCAGCAAGGCCAGTCTGCCCACACTTACCAAGGACAGCAAGAAGCAGGTAAGAGGTCACATGGCATGCTGTCCCCTTGCAGCGTGCTGCTCTCACCCCTCAGTCTCACATCCAGCCTGCCCTGGGTCCCCAAGTAGGGCCCTCCCTTAGACCTAGGGCCCTTGCCCTTTCCAGTAGTTTTAGCCTAGAATGCGCCCTCCCCTCAGGGTTGCCATCTATTCTTGATTTCTTGGGTCTCACCCTGCTGGCCCTGTGAAGACAGGCTCTTCAGGTTACCTCCATGGTAGGCTGTCTGAGAGAGATGGCAGCCTCTACAGTTTTCCCTACTACCTTTTTGTCCCCTTGAAAACCGGAGCACTGAGCTTGTGAAGGTCTCCATCAGGAGTGTGGATATTCATTTATTAAATATTTGTCCCGACAGTTCCATGCCAGAGATTCTGTGAGGCACTAAAGATCTGAGGACATGGAACTCACAGCCTAGCACGACAATCTTCATCCTTAAGTCTGTAGCGACTTTTACCTTGTACCCTGTTAAGAATCAGCTAAAAGCTGCAGTCCAGAATGTACATATGCAGGAAGTCCCTCTTGGTAGTCCAAATGACGCAAAACACCCCATGCAGAACAGACATAAAAGCAGATGGTTGAAATGTAGGACAGCACATGGGCAATGCTGGGGGACTGCCTGGGACTAAGGAGCAGGGAGCACAGAGGCTGGGACTCTGGGAACAGTGAACCAAGCTGAAGAGGGAACAGCACCCACCTCGTCCCCTTCCTGTTGTAGGTGTGGCCAGCTCCCCAATCCTGAAGCACAATGTTTCTCTCCGTCCCCAGCCCTCGGGCACTGTGCCCCTTTCAGTTACTGCTGCCTTGCAGCTGACACACAGCCAGGAAGACTCGAGCCGGTGCTCAGATAACTCAAGCTACGAGGAACCCTTGTCACCTATCTCAGCCAGCTCATCCACCTCCCGACGGCGACAAGGCCAGAGGGATCTGGAGCTCCCTGACATGCACATGCGGGACTTGGTGGGCATGGGACACCACTTCCTACCAAGTGAGCCCACAAAGTGGAATGTAGAAGATGTCTTTGAGTTCATCCGCTCTCTGCCAGGTAAGTTCCTTTTCACCTGCTGGAATAGCATGAGTGAGAGGGAGTAGGGACCTCACCTTCTCCAGGAGGCAGCAGGACCCAAGGTGCAGAGGTGCAAACACAAGTCTCCTGTTTGTGAAAGCTGATGTCTTAGCACAGCAGTCTCTGGAATACTTCTGGCCACCATTTGAAACAGCTGCAGTCTAGGAAGTGGTTTCTGTAGTACATAAGCGTGGAATTAGCTCTGTCTCTTCCTGGGCAAAGGTAGGAAGGAAATCAGGAGGGAGTGTAGTGTCAGGGAAACATAAAAATAAGTAGCAGAGGACTAGTGAGATGGCTCAGTGGTTAAAAGCACAGTTTGCTCTTCCAGAGGTCCCGAGTTCAATTCCCAGAAACCACATGGTGGCTCACAACCATCTGTAATGAGATCTGGTGCCCTCTTCTGGTGTGCAGGCATATACAGGCAGAACACCGTATACATAATAAATTAATCTTAAATAAAAATAAAAACAATAAACAGCTGAAGTAGGCGTTTGCACATTGAGATACTACCCATGAGAGCCGCTTGAGCAAAAGCAAGGACAGAAAGCAAATTTTCTAGTATTCCAAATTCTCCCAGGGCAGCCCTGAAACTTCTTTCTGCCAGTCTCATGCATTCACTGCCAGGTTGGCAGCGATGATGGCCACGAGCCTGTGCAGGGTTGAGTGTGGTATGGAAACGAGAGCTTAAAATTGGAGATCAGACAGAGCTGGGTTCAGTTCTAGCACTTTCACTTAACCTAGTGTTTTTGTTGTCTATCCTGTACCCTCAGGTTTGTCATAGCACGGTTACTTTTGTCAAACTTAGGAATCCTTTGCAGCCCTGTCTTGGGGTCCCTTATGAGGATGCAGCTTTGTGTCAGCCAAGGCCAAGGCCACCTGCAGGCTTCCTTGGGGTAATGGGATCTTCACTCCTGTGGTTTGCAGGAAGGGGCCAGCTGTTGGCAGGAGGCCCCTATGGGCCTCTTAGAGCAAGCATGACAGCAGGTTTCCCCACAGCTAGTAAATCCTAGAGAGCAATCAGAAGAAACCTTCATGCCCTCTTGGACCTAGCCTCAGAAATTACACTCTGCCATTCCTACAGTATCTCTGGTCACACAGATAAGCGCTGTCCTTTGGGGGAACTCACAGGATGCCTTAATCAGGGTTTCTATCGCTGTGTTGAAATACCATGACCAAAGAATAGGTGGGAAGAAAAGGATTTATTTGGCTTATACTTCCAATGATGTCACTGATCATCATTGGAGGGATTCAGAATAGGAACTCAAACAGGGCGGAAACTGGGAGGCAGGTGCTAATGCAGAGGCCATGATGAGTGATGCTTACTAGCTTGTTCCACATGGACTGCTCAGCCTGCTTTCTTGTAGAACCCAGGGCCACTAGGCCAGGAATTGATGGCCTCATCCACAGTGGGCTAGGCCCTCCCCCATTAGTCACTAAGAAAATGCCCTACAGGCCTATGTAAGCAGTTTCTCTTTGTCTCAGCAGTGGCTCCCAAATAACCACACAGGACCTTATTAATTATAAACGCTTGGTCAATAGCTCAGGCTGGTTACTAGCTAACTCCTACAACTTAAATGAGCCCATTTGTATTGATCTAAATCCTGCCACGTGGTGTTACCTGTCTTTCATCTTGCACCTCCTGTTTCCTCTCCATGTCTGGCTGGTGACTCCTTACTCTCTTCCCTTCTTCTTCCCAGTGTCCTTAGTCTGGTTCTCCCGCCTGACCTCATCCTGTCCATCTTCTGGCCAATCAGCTTCTTTATTAGACCATTCACAGCAACATGTATTCACACAACATAAAGCAATATTCCATATTTCTCCCTGTCTAATTAAAAAGGAAGGTTTTAACTTTACCATAGTATAAAATTATATACAACAAAATGTTATGTAAGAATTATAGTATTTGTATTGTCAAATTTAGAGAAAATACTATTTATCTTTGTGAGTCTCAAGTATTATACCAAATTTACCTTTCATCATGACTAAGGAGAGCTTTAACTGTGACTTAGTCTTCAGTTCTGTCAAGGACCCCAGAAGAGTGAAATATTACCTAACAACAGGGACATCTGGCTGTCTGGACAGTCATCCAAGTTGTTTTGTAATGCTGGGGCATCCAACTTCCACCTACAGGCCTAATATATCTGACCGACACTCTGAGAAGCAGGGAATTGTTGTCCTACCTCGTCTTGGCAGAGTTTGACACTTGCTTTCTTTTGCATCCTGCTGGTCCAGTTTGGACAGTATACTCTAAGCAGTTGCGGCGATGGCAATTTCTTTGCCCCAATGGCTAGCTTTTGCCATAAAGAAAGCAAACTCCCTGTGTAGGTTCTTCAATGCCCATCACCTTCTTTTGAAGTAAATTGGTGCTGTTAGGAGCAGATGTGTCTCCCTGTCATGAAAAACCTTAAGTTATTAAACATATTAAATGCCATATTCTGTGGGTCTTTGAAGTGTTTGAAGACGATCCATCTATCTGTGTATGACCAAAACTAATAGAAAGTGGCCGTCTATAGACCAGGGGATAGAAACCCCAATATTGAGGAAGGAACCACAAAATCACCACAGCACTATTGGTTATAAGACAAACTAGGAAAGCAAAGGGAAAATCCCTGCTTCTCCAATTCATGGTGTATGTGCAATGGCATAGATATATGGTCATCAAAAGGGAAAACCACTAACTGGCAGATATCTGGTCATGGAAGCATGAATGGGAATGGCAGAACTTAGCAAAGACATCAAATTTTTATGTAGCTCATACAGGTGACACAAGACACATGACTATAAGTTTGATATTATAGATGACTATTAATCTATTTCTTAATTACACATTACATTTTTAATGGGCTGCATAAACACAATACTGTAAACAAAAATAGAAACATACATACAGTATAACAAAATGAACTTTAAATTTGTGTCAATTTGTGGTGGCGCACACCTTTAATCCCAGTACTCGGGAAGCAGAGGCAGGCAGATCTCTGTGAGTTCGAGACCAGCCTGGTCTACAAGAGCTAGTTCCAGGACAGCCTCCAAAGCCACAGAGAAACCCTGTCTCGAAAAACCAAAAAAAAGTGTCAAACCAAAATTCATACCAATGTAAAATATTTTGATTTTTGAATTAAAGTAGATTCAATAATCTATCCTTTGTTCTTACCATTCCTATGTCATATCCTTCTTTTTTTTTCCTTTATAAAGAGATTTTCCTGACTATGACCAATACCAACTTGTAACTGACACCCCTTAAATGATAATAAACATCTATAACCCATCTTTTGGAAATGTGGGCATTGTTTTTTCCAGACTGCTTCCTTTGTCTGAGGGTGCTGGCATCTTTGAGGAACTCTGAGAAAATTTAGGATAATAATTAAGTTCGGGCTGGAGTAGTCTGTGAGGCTGGACTATCTCATCCAGCAGCCTTGAAGCTGTTCTGGATGCAGAACTCCAGGTAAACTGCAGCAAAGGCTCTTTGAGATGCTGGATCACCTGGGTCATTGGTTTTCGTTGCTGTCTGGTCCCCTTGCTCTGAAAACACATAAACTTTATAGGTAACATATATATCTGCATTAATATAAGTATAGACTATGCTGTACACAACTTAGTCGATGATGATATTTTATGTTTAAGCAGTTAAAATATGTTACATGTTTTGTACTTGATTTGTAGGTTTATTTCTTTATGTTTGTAGTCAGAATTTTCAGGGAGTCTTCCTTGATCAAATCTGATCCATATCAATCTGGAATGAACCAACAGCCTCTCATTTCCTGTGGAAATAAAAGTATAACCACTTTCCCAAAGCAATAAACCTTTTGACTTCCATTTTGAAGTTAAGGTATTCTAAAAGTATATAGGTTGGTTTAATCTAGTAGTTTCCATAATCCAGTGTTTCTTAGCGGCTGTCACTCATTCATTAGCAGTCAAAACTTTAAAGATAACACAATGACACACAGGATCCAGACTCTGTGTGTTTCCCATCTTTACATGACTTTTCTCTCTATATTTCTTTAGTCCCTTTTAAGAATTTTACTTTATTTTTTTAAACTATATGTTTTTTCTGACTACCTATACCCCTTTTCTGTTCTCTCCCAAGCCTTTGTACTTTTTAAACACTGTAACCCACTTAGAAGTTTTCTCTGTCTGGATCTGTATTGTTTAAACTTTTTGAGTGAGACAAATCTTAAACTGCTATATTAGCTGCTGGCATTGGAAGCTGGCTCCCCACTCCCCACCCCTGCCTTGGCTCCCTGAGTTCACACTGCCACCAAGTAGTGTGCCACCAGCTGCTCATAAACCCCATTTAAGTGTTCAGTAGCAGGGCCTCTTAAAAGAGCCATGCTTGTGTTTGACACTAGCAAACAGAGTCTAACTGAAAAAATGAGGTATTTGGAATGCCTTTTTTACAGTGTTCTCGGGTTTTATGTGGATCTACATTCCTGGACTGGGGTGCCATTTATAAGCAGAGTTTCTTGGCAGTCACTCCCAAATAACCACACGGGACCTTATTAATTATAAACGCTTGGTCAATAGCTCAGACTTGTTATTAGCTAGCTCCTACAACTTAAATGAGCCTATTTGTATTAATCTAAATCCTGCCATGTGGTGTTACCTCTCTTTGGTCTTGCACCTCCTGTTCCTGTCCGAGTCTGGCTGGTGACTCCTCTCTCTCTTCCCTTCTTCTTCCCAGTGTCCTTCTTTAGTCTGGTTCTCCCCACCTAGTCTCATCCTGTCCAGCTATTGGCCAGTCAGCTTCTTTATTAGACCAATCACAGCAGCATATATCCACACAGTGTAAAGAAATATTCCACAGGCTTGCCTGCAGCCTGATCTTCTGAAGGCGTTTTCTTGAGTCAAGTCTGGGCATGGAGAGCTCTGGCCCTGCTACATAGGTGTGGCTCCCTAGTTGAGATCAGAGGACTAGACAGGTTGTCTCCTGCCCACCACACCCCCAGTATCTGATAGCCTTGGTTGTCATTTCCTTCTGAGGATTCAAAGCTGGAGTGACTCTTACCCACCCTTGCTTGGTCCCACCCTCAGAGTCACCCACCTGCTGAGAAAGGCAGCCTGAGTGTTCAACACAACTTCAATTACAGTGCTGACTGTAATTCCTGCTTTTTATTTCCTAATACCTCTGAGCTTTCCAGTCTCATCGAGCAATATTTCTGATAGTATAATTGTCTTAAGATCTTCATAGTCTCTGAGTCTTATTGGGGTTCATTTCATCAAACAAAAAGCACCCCAAATCCTCTTTCAGATAAGCCTTTCTTAATGTTGGGCTTCTTCTGGGGCCCTCACTCAGGGTTCTTGGGAACCCTTCAACTGATCAGAAACCATGGCAAGCCCTTCTCTTCCAGGGTCTCATGTCAGGTCTTCAGGAGCCTGGGTTTGGTTTGGTTTTGTTTTGGGAGGGCATGTTTTGATTTGATGGTGTCTGTTTGTGTGAGATAGGGTTTCTCTGTGTAGCCCTAGCATTCCTGAGAACTCACTCTGTAGACCAGGCTGGCTTCAAACTCAGAGATCTGCCTGCTTGTCTCTGCCTCCCTAGTGCTGGGGTTACAGGTGTGCACCCCCACACTGGAAACTGTTTTCTAATCCTAGCACTGTTGACCATCTGAAAGGCTAAGGGCTTCCTGAACCAACCTTTACTGGCCATGGTACATGGAATTGCTGTCTTTTCTTTCTCTTCCCTTCCTTCTAACCAGAAGCCAGGCAGCGCCCTCTGCCTTCTGCCGGAAGATGTAATCTTTAGGCCACTCAGCTCACTGGGAACTTTACACTTCACGTCCCCAGCTCAGTGCTATGAAACTTGCTGCTTCCTACAGGATGCAGTTGAATCCCAGACCTTCCAGCCTCCTGTAGCAGTTCCCTCTCTCTCCTTTAAGCTTCCAGCAGTGTCGTGGGCTATGGGACTCCTGCTTAGGATCCCAGATCACCTTAGGTAGTCACTGCTACTCCACCTGTCCTATCTGCTGCTGGCCCCAGTACAAGGCCATCCCTACAAGTTCAAAGTTTTTTTAATGTCTCATCTCTCAATAAGGCACCAAAATCTGTTATCAATATATTGCTATGAGACAAATCACTCTAAAACTTAGCCTTAAACAGTAATGACCCATTCATTTTCTCAAAGTTGTGGGTGTCAGGTATTTGCAGTGGCTCAGCTGTGGCTCCAGTCAGAGCAGCAACAGCATCCATGATGGAGGCTGTCATCCACGTTTAGGGAGCCCAGTCACGTGACATCAGCCTCTCCAAAGGGGGCTGATGGAGTGTTCTGATGTGGTGGTCAGTTTGCTCCAAAGTAAGTTATCTGCAAGGATGAGGGAAAGCTGATACCCTCTCTGTGAGGCCTCAGCAGCCACTTGCTTACCCTCCGTACCAACCCAGCACTTAGGACATTAGTCTAGGGAGAGGCCCAAGGAGGGCCACATCCTCACTTACTGGCTCAGTCATTTAGTCTCTCAGGCTGCAAGACAAGAACAGTAATATCACTGTGGTGACATCTTGCTTGTATAAATAAAGCCTGTCTGAAGGTCAGAAAATGGAGCTGGCCACTAACTAACCATAGAGGTCTGGAGGTCTGTACAGACAGACAGGAAGTGAGCTAGCTGGGCTGGCTCAGTCAGTAGAGCACGAGACTCTAATCTCAGGGTCGTGAGTTCAAGACCCATGTTGGGCACCATTTGTAGACGGAGTTTCTGTTCTGCCCAGTCCTATAGCTGTCTGGACCCAAGTAAACATACAGAGACTATATTAATTAAAATTGTTTGACCAGTGTACTACCCTCAAGGTACCATGTGAGGCTTTCCTGAGCTAGGGCTTGTCTCTAACTGCTGCTGTTGCCCATGGTCTTCCTCAGGTTGCCAAGAGATTGCAGAGGAGTTCCGTGCCCAGGAGATTGATGGGCAAGCCCTGCTGCTGCTCAAGGAGGACCACCTGATGAGTGCCATGAACATCAAGCTGGGGCCTGCCCTGAAGATCTATGCACGCATCAGCATGCTCAAGGACTCCTAGAGTCTCTGTGCCCGCTGCCCCACCGGGCAGCCAAGGTTCCAGCCCCAGGTGGGCGCCGCCTCCTGATGGAGCAGAGCCACACAGACATTCCTGAGGAGCCCAGGATAGGGCCAGTTGGAGGGAAGGGGCTCTCCCTAGGGGTGCAGCTGTGAGGAGGTCTCCGTGCCTCTTCAGTGGCTCTCAGGGGCCATTTCTGTGGCAGGGTGGAGGTAGGTGGCACAGAAGATGGGGCTTTGCGCTTGTAAACACTGACAGACTGGCTTCCTCCAAAGTCCCAATGTTCTAGCCCCCCCAACCCTTTCTCTGTCCCCCATTTTCCAGGGGGTTTATGGTCAGGGCTCCCCAACTTGAGTTGGGTCACTTCCAAGGGCAGCCAGCAGGCCTGGACAGAGGTCTCGAAAGCCCTTGCCTTCTCTCCCCTTTCCCCTTCTTTCTCCAGGCCTGGCTAACCTTCCGTTGTCAGCTTCTCCCCCTTCAGCCTGTTCCCACAGCATCCAGGGGCTCTACCCCTGTACCCTTTGCAGGTGGAGAGGGAGAAGCTGGGCCCAGTTTGGCCGTGCCTGCTGGCACAGACGCCTTAACGCTGTGTGTATGACTGTGTGACTGGGAGCCTGGACTGACAGGCCGTGAGCTGCCCTCTGGCATTTCCAGGTGTTTTGTAGCAAACAGCCACTTAGTGCTTTGTCCTGGACTCCACTCAGCCTGAGGCTGGGGAATAGAAAGAAAGGGCGGATCCCGAGAGTTGGAGATTAGAGGTTCCCTCCAGATGGCAGGAGGTTTCTGGGAAGGTCTCCTCAACACCAAACTGGCAGTGTGTCCTGCTGGCTGGCAGACAGCACAAGGAAGCCCCAGGGGCTAGACCATGTGGCCCAAAGCCGGAGCCTCCCATGACTTACCTGCCTGCCATCCTCACACCCCTCATGGGAGGAAGTGTGTAACTCAAACTGGCTGGAGGCACTGTGGAAGCAGCCTTTGGCCTGCCACGCGCACACTTGCTTGTAAAACTTGTATAGCAGTAACAGCTACCTAAGGAAGGGCGGGCCACCTCTGACTTGCCGTCCTTACCAACTCTGGGAAGTCAGACTCTTCCCGGGAGGGGTGGGCACTTTCTCAGCTTACTCTGCCCCTTCCCCACACCCCCAGGCAGGGTTGGAAATGAAGGACTTTTTTAACCTTTTGTTTTGTTTTTAAAAAATAAATCTGTAAAACCTGCCTCTTGTGTGCCTGGATTTTTGTTCAGGGGTGAGGAAGAGAATGGGACTTGGGTTGGGGAAGGATGGCTGCCTTGACTGGGCGGCAGATGCATTTCACCTCTCCGCAAATCAACACCCTTCGAAGTAAAAGTGCAGGGCCCTTGATCTCTGAACCTCCCCATCCGCTTTTCCCATCAAGGCCATGTGGGAAGCCAACATTATCAGTAACACTTGAGCCACAACCCAGACTTTCCTACCTACAGCAGGTGCACCTGGATGGCGCTGCCTGTTCACAAGATGCAGGGGCCTGAGGAAACTTTAATTCACTCAGCACCTGCCAAGCATTTTATGCTAATGATACAATAGAGGGATAGGTAGACCAAGAGACAGCTAAACCTTTCAAAGAGGAAAGATAAGAGATAATACCTGCTAGTGAAATACTAATGGTAGTAAGTGAAAGCTAGCCGGGCTGAGGGAAAGCAGCTAGGGTTAGCTGGGGTGGGCCATGTGCTTCTTGGGTGAGGGTGACAACCCAGGGCTTGCCTAACCCTGTCACTAAGCTGGTCAGCTAGACTTTTCTTCAGGTACCACTTAACCCCACCAGAACCTCTACAGGGAGATCAGATGTGACAGTTTGGGAATCAGTACTCCTAAATTGATGACTGCACACGGGTGCCTGTTAAAATGTGATTACCCACTGGAAGAGTCGTGGTTAATTCCCCAGGGAGACCACAACCTGAAAAGTTGGTGATCCAGAAATGGAAAAGCTAGGGAAGCTTGTGGGGAAGGAGCCATGACCTGCCTGTCCTTTTGCTCTGCCAGCTGTGTACGAAGGCAGCCAGTCTTACCACTTGGACCTCTATTTTTCCTTGGGGAAAAAAAAGACTAGGTCCGACTCAAGTTTGCTTTTAAGTATGTGATGGAGACGAAGCCAAGGCTACTCAGAAATTGGTGAGTTTAAGTTGACTGAGTTATCTGTCACTTCAGATGAAAGAACCTAACATCTCATGACTGGATTTTTTTTTTGTTGGTTTTTTGGGTTTTTTGTTTGTTTTTGAGACAAGGTTTCATGTGGTCACAGCTGATCTGGACTTGAGCCTCCTGAGTGTTAGAATTACAGGGGTGAGCAATGGTCTGACTGCTACTGTAAATGTGAAGCCTGTGTTCTTACATAAATATTTGTTCCTGGTATTAACACTACATAAACTTTCACAAATGCTTGGTCATGACTCACAGTTTAAAAAACTTTCTGGCAGGCATAGTGGTGCATTCCTTTAATCCCAGCACTCAGTAAGCAAAGGCAGGGGGATTGCTGTATTCAAGACCAGCCTGGTCTACAGAGTGAATTCCTGGAGGACAGCCAGGGCTCCACCGAGAAACCCCGTCTTTTAATACACACACACACAGTGGCAGTGTAAGCTTACGTGACTCTTAACCTGGGGACAGGCATGTGCACCCCATGTTCCTGGGGAGGGAAAGGGGACTACAAGGAGGGAAGTTGCTCAGAGTCATAGTGCCCAGTGCTTTTTGGCTTAAGCTGGTAGCCAGTACCATACAGGACTTATCCTGGGTGGGGATGCAATACTGACTGTAGACCCTCCCAGAAACAAGACACGGGAGGAAAGAGAAGCCCCTACACCTGCCGCAGGTCCTCCCATACTTTAGTCCGGCTTCACTCCCCTCTTCTAAATGATTGGCCCCAAAGGGCTTGCCAGCCCCGCCCCCACCCTAGGATCTGTGGTAAACTTCATCTCCAGGTTCTTGAGTTTATTGGCAATCCAACCCAGATTGCTTCTGGGGTGTGGTCTAGATAGCAGGAAGGAACTGCTCTGTCCCTAAACCTTGTGAATTTTACTGCGTATGCCATGCTTTCCACCTCTCTGGGATGGAAAGATCCCATGACAACTTCTCCAATGGCTCTCAAGGGACTCAGGTGAGTGGGTTCAGTGCCCGCCAGGTGGGAAGTGTGAGCCCCGGGCTTATTGACCCAACAAGCGATGGAACTGTTGAGGGAAAATGTGGCTCCGAGAACACTGTTGGGAATAACGAGTGAGGAACCTGGGTGGATCCCATGGCAGGCGAGGGTGACTGAAGCGGGGGACAAACACACCAGGCAGACAAGGCGTAAGTCAGAAGTTTTATTAGAAAGGGAGGGGGAGGAAAGAGGGAAAGAGGCGCAGAGAGGACAGAAGAGAGAGACAGGAAAAGTCCTGTCTGCCCCAGGGGAACAGCGGGAAAGAGAGGAGCAGGGAAAAGGAGGGGGCATAAGTGGGCAGGGTCTTTCCATAAAGCTTTCCTTTGCACCTGCGTGCAGACAGCTCAACCATGGAACCCTGGGCTGACCTGAGTGCTTTCTGCCAGGTGACAGGAGCAAGCCAGAATAATGCCTGAGTCCTTACAAGAGATGGCAGGGGCAGTGGCGCACGCCTTTAATCCCAGCACTCAGGAGGCAGAGGCAGGTGGAGCTCTGTGAGTTCAAGGCCAGCTTGGTCTACAGAGCAAGTTCCGGGACAGCTAGATCTACACACACAGAAACCCTGTCTCAAAAAGGAAAGAAAAAAAATGAGTTGGGACAAGGGCGGAAGGAAGAGGGAAGCAATGGAGATTTCCTTTTCTGTTGTCCCCTGGGTGAGGCAGAAAGCCAGGGCCCAAGGCTACCCTCCTCCCTGTATCTGAGAGCTCTCTTGAAAGCAAGGAATGGAGCATAATGAGCTACTGAGCTGTCTTCTGTAATGAGCTGGAGCACACAGGTCCTTCAGCAAAATTTGACCAAGAAATGCCAGGGGTAGGTCACACAGGCACCTCTAAAGCTCTAAACTGGCACCCAAGAGGGCAAGGATAGTTAGATCTCTATTGTCATCCACCCCCATCTTGGGACCCAGCACCCTTCCTAACCTAGTCCTTTGGTCCAGCCTGGGCCACACTGGGCCAGTTCAGCCTGGATGCCCTGACTAAGTCCTGGTGCCCAAGAAGGTCGTTGGTCCCCTACTCTGGTGGGTAAGAAGACAAGGGAGGGGGCTGGCTAAGAATGTGGGACACCCACTGGGGACAAAGGAGTCACTGTCAGTCTTTCCTTGCTTCTGCTGCAGGGACAGTCTGGCAGATGCCAGGATTCAGAGTGGCCTAGAGAGTGGGAAGGGGCAGGCTTCTTAGAAACCACACCAGCAGGAGACATACCACTCAGATCCAGGGACCTTTGTGGGGGAGCTGGGGTCCACGGTGGGTCTCCTCATTGATGGGATGGGAGCAACCCAGATTCCTCTCAGGGTACTGTGATCAGACTTCACCAAGACCTGGGAGTGTTCTATGCAGTGTCTGGCCCCATCAGTGCCCAGGACTAGGAATGAGCACAGACTTAACTCCTCGGGCAAATGGATATTTAAGCAAAGGAGTAACAGTGAGTTGGGGAAAGAAAGTGAAGTTAAAGCCACAGTTCATTACTTCATTCATTTCTAGCAAAGGACTGTTAATGACACCAATTAGGAAGCAGGTTCTGGGACTTCATACCAAGACTCTAAAGTCTACTAGGGCAATGAAGAGTTCCTAGGGCAGACGGGTCAAGCAAGGCCTGGAGGAGGGTGGGTTGGTGAAAGTACAGGTGTAGGACCAGGGACCAGATGTCAAGGAGCCTGAAAACGAGTGAGTGACAGAAGGTGGGGAGAGTGATCTGGCAAAGATGGGTGACAATTCCAGTGAGCCATGGGAAACCCTGGAAACTTCAGGTCAGGACTGAAGGGTGGACCGCTGACTGGGAAGCCGAAACACAAATCCAGTTGTAAAACAGTAAGGCAGAGAGGATGGAGCAGGTGGAGGAGGTGGCAGGGAAGAGTCTGTGTGTAGACAGCGGAGCCTGGAGACGGCCATTGTGGAGGGATAAAGGGGTTCTAAGGCCATAGGAACACAAAGGAAAAGGGGATGGGCCGGGCAGGACCACTCAGACTGCAGATTGAGATGCTGTGAGTTTAAAGCTTGTGGGAGACATCTGGGCAGGCACAGCAATCGAGGGGATACAAGATACCTCAGCCAGAGCACAGGAAACACAGTGGCCTACATTACAGATGTTACACCCTAATCAACAGAGGTGGAGCCTCATTGTGCAGGGTTGAACACGATTAAAGGACATTGAGTCAAAAACAATTTTAAAAGGTCCTGTCTTTCTCCCTGGAACTTCTCAGTGACCATCACCAATCTGGTGTGCCCCCCCAAATTCACCTATATAGCCCCATTTAACAGCCAGCAGCAACATGCAGTTATATAGGTGCATTCACCAACCCCCGCTGGACTTGCTTATGTCATATCTTTTTTACTTCTTTCGCTTTTTTGTTTGTTCGTTTGTTTGTTTTTCAAGACAAGGTTTCCCTGTGTAGCTTTGAAGCCTGTCCTGGAACTAGCTCTTGTAAACCAGGTTGGTCTCAAACTCACAGAGATCCGCCTGTCTCTGCCTCCCAAGTACTGGGATTAAAGGCATGTGCCACCACTGCCCAGCCTTTCTATCGATTTCTGTTAATTAGTTTTTTATTTTTATTTTTTAGCTAGGATACAAAACATTGGGTTTCACTATGGTGTTCTCAGGCAGGCCTGTCATTATAACGAACCCATTTCCACCCTCCCTCCTCTCCTTAGCCCCTACCTCCCTGCAAATGTACATTTCCTTTTTCTTTTTTTTTTTAAGACATTCCTTTAAAAGAAAAAAAAAACTTTATTACATGAGTATGTTTGTGCTACAAATGCCTATTGGAGGTCAGCAGACAACCTGTAGTCAAGTCTCTCATCCCCTTCTACATGGATCAGTCAGGCTCACCAGCAAGCACAGCCGCCATTTTACCAGGCGCCGCGTGCTAGACCCTAGGACTGTCTGCTGTATAGACTAGAGATCCAGCGACGGGAAGGGGTTTGAGGACCCTGATGGGCACCACAGTGTTCCAAGGCTCCTTCAGTCCTGCTGAGAGGTGCGGACTTTATCTTGCAGCTAGTCAGAGGTGTTCTTTATTCCTTCATTTAAAAATCAATGCAGTTTATGGAAGACCTGAATTTGATCCCAAAACTCTCTCTCTCTCTTGTTAAGTGGATGTTAACTGGGTGTGGTAGCAGCTGTCAAAGGAAACCATGTGTCCACAAACCATAAACCTTCGACTTCAGCTTCCATCTATCGACTCTTTATAAAGACTTAGGGAAATCACCCATACCCCTCATGACCTTTTATCCAAGTTCCCACTTGCATCAGCTCCACCCCTCCCTGACACAGATACACCCAGCCCTCGGTGTCTGGACTGTCCTCCCCCACCCCTGTGCTCTCTCCCGTGACACCCCAGAACTCCCTGGTGAGCTCTTTACCCCAATCACACATACAGTTTGACCCTCGGATACAAATACTCTTGAATCCAAGTACAGACATCTCTACCATCAATGGCCACGCTCTGCTCATCCTTCATCAGCCCTCCACTACTCACTCTTCCCCGCTCAGCCACCAGTGCTCTGCCTCACCCCCGAAACTCCTGGCCTCTAACTGGGTTTCTTGTCTCTAGTCCACGCCCTCCCACCAGTCACCATGCCTAGGTCTAACGTTCTATCTGACTACTTCCACGTTTTTCCCAAACGATGTTATGCCAAAACCACCCCTCACCCCTACACTAAACCTTTCCTTAATGGGAGTTCCCTGGGCGCACTGGTATTTCCTTATTGGAGGCTACCTTTCCCCTACATCCCTATCTAAATGGCTTCTAGTTCTCAGAAGCTGGGTTTAGAGGTCCACTCCTCCAGGAAGTCCCGGACAGCCTTGGACCTGGCACAAAGCTTGGTCTACACTGTGACCAATATATGCCAAGGTAACAGCCAAGCAGACACTGAGCAACATCTCGTCTTGGGACTGTCAACCCACAAGGGACAGGTCCTGAAAGCTAAGTAGCTCTCCAAAATGCCAGGGTTCCACCAGCAAACCCCCTTTCTAACCCTGTACGCTGGCAGCCTCGATATTTTCATCATAGCGCGTATTTTTTTCTTTCTTTCTTTTTGATGGTGATCATTTTATAAACAAAACCTGCCAGTAGGTTCTAATTTGTATGTCTTTGCCTACTAGTGAGGGCAGACATTTTTCCATATATTTGCCTACTAAACGCATTTTCTCCCTTTGAGGATTTAGCTGCTGGTGCGATAAACACTGTTAGGGAAGTTGGTCTTTTAGGAGATGCCTCTGGGGGCTCTGGGGGCTCTCAGGTCACATGGAGGCCACAGAAAACAGGAAGGACAGAGACAAAGAGGCCAAGGGAAGCCTACCTGGGGACTACCACGGTAGGTGAGCAGGTGAGCGAGTGAGTGGAGCAAGCATGGGGGGAGGGGGAGGGCTGCAAGCAGGTTTCGGGCTTAGTCATCCTTGGCACTCTGTGCTAAGAGGGTACCCACATCTGCATAAGAGCAAGGCAGGTTCATTGAACAAATAAGAGGCTCAGAAGGTGTGGAGTGGGTCCAAGAGATAAGGGAATCTGATAAGTAGCCTTCCAGAAAGAGAACATAGAAACTAGTGAGGGAGTTGCAGGGTGAACAGGGAGTGGAGATTAAGAGATTATCAGAAGAGGCCATCTGTAAGAAGCCTTATCAGTGTGTGCCCTTAGCTGGTGAAGTTCAGTGAATTCACATCATCTAGCTGATCTTGACTCCAAGTTCAGGTTCAGCCTCCCTATGCTATTCTCATTACTCTGCCTCAAAAATGGAGACTGATGCCCAGAGGCCTGGTTTTGCTCATAAATGGTGATACCCAGAGTTCCAAACAGGCACCTGGTCCCCATATCTGTTTTTTACTATGGGGCTCGTATAGAAGACAACGAACCATGGACAAATCCCAGTGCCCACTCCCTCCAAGCCAGGACCTGTGAGCTTGGTGAGAGGAATACCAGCCCAGGGAGAACAGGCCACCACTGGACATGCTCCCCACTCCCAGCTACTAAACCACAAATTCCTCTCTCTTCTTGGACTTTCCCCCCACAAGATCAGCCTCGCCCCAACTCATTAAGTAAGCAAACCTGAACGTTACTATCCTCCAAGGCCGCCCAGCTCACACACACCCTGCCACACTGCTGCCCAAAGCAGTGGTCCAGACTCAGTGCTCCTTTCCTGGGGCAACTGGCAAAGAGGGTGGAGCCTCTTTACGTACTGGGTGAGGTAGCAGCGTAGGCAGTGGCAGTAGGGTCCTGGGTTTGATCCCCAGCACTGTAAAGATAGTGATGTCTGTGTTATGTATTATCAGAAAGATACAATAGTCAGCAAAACCTGCAAGGGTAGGCAGATTGTCCACTGTGCTGCCATCTGTGGGGGAGTCGGCGGAAGAAGGGACACGTGCTGGAATATCTGTATGTACCTTCTCTGCACAGACCATCTCCCGAAGAAGGATGCAGAAGACACTGATGCCATTGGCCACCTCCATGCAGAGCTGCAAAGGCTTTGCTCCAGGCAAACCCTTGAGTCCTTTCTGAATGTCTGTGTTGTGTGACTAGAATAATAGGTTCCTACTCAGAAATCAAATGAAGCAGGAAAATCGGGCAACGATTTCTCCTGTGTCGTTGAAGCCCTCCCCCTCTGCTCCCACCACCCCAGGGCCAAGAAGAGACTCCTGTGGACCCTGCTCCTGTCTGCATTTGGCTGTTCAGGCCTGTACCTATATGGGTTCCGTATTCTCAGGTACTCCGCCAGGGTTAAAGTGGATCTCTCCAAGAGCTCCACCGTGCACCCCAGGGAAGCAGGATGGTAGCTGGCTTAGCCCCGGTAAATGTTCTATGGGCTTTCCCCACCAAACAAGGAACATGTCAACTGTCCCTTCCTGTCTGCCACATCTACAGGTACTTAGAAGGCATCATTCCCATGGGCATCTGCCCTGTAGTCACCACGTCTCTGCTGACGGACAACTTTACTGGTGGCCTGCAGCACTGGTAAGCAGCTACCATTCCCCCACTCAGAATGTCCACCAACTATACAGGGCTGCCCCAGGTCTCAGTCCTCTTCGAACCCACACCCAGGTGTTCTGTCTTTGGGAAGCCAGTGGCTCTATCAGGCCACGCACCACCCAGTCTGTGTTTGGTTCTAAGCTAGAGGCCCGTAGGAACAGGTCTGTGGGTCCCTAGTGTCCAGCAACGGGGAAGTGGAAATAGCAGGTGTCAAGCAGCGGCGTGAACAGAACTGTCCTTCTTACTCCTGCTCTCGACCAGGGCTCGGCCTGAAGTCCTGACCTGTACCTCTTGGGGAGCACCAGTTATTTGGGATAGCACCTTCAACCCACATGTAGCCAAGCAAGAGGCGAGACGGCAGAACCTCACCATTGGACTGACTGTCTTTGCTGTAGGCAGGTAAGACCCAGGGAAGAGACCATGCTTCTAGGTAGTGAACAGGATGGTGTGCACATGGATGGGGAATCATGGAACCTTGTTCCATGCCATAGAAACTCCTAGTGCAGTTACAGGCTGCACCCATTGTTTCAGACTCTCAGGGGAATACAGAGGCACGTTCTCCTGTCCCCTTCTCCCTGAACAGCAATGGCAGAGTCCAGTAGTCCAGTAGCCAGAGTTCAGAACTACTAAACAGGAATAGGCCTTGCCTAAGGGTAGTTATGGCACACATGGAGACACTGGGTTTGTGGTGAGAACATCAAAGACTTTTTCAGGCTAATGAGGAAAAAAGCAACTGACCAAGCAAAAGTACTCAGTGTAGGTCATAAAAGTAGTGAGGCTGGCTGGGCGATGGTGGCACACTTGGGAAGCAGAGGTAGGCGGATCTCTGTGAGTTCAAGACCAGCCTGGTCTAGAAGAGCTAGGCTCGGGCAGGTTCAAAAGCTACACAGGAAAACCCTGTCTCGAAAAACAAACCAAACCAACAAAAAGAGTAGTGGGGTTTTGCCAGGGGACCCTGATGGCGGGAGAAGTACTGGGAGCTCAGGACTTCACAGTGGGGTGACACCAGGCTAAGCAGAGAAGGCCATGAGGGTGGGTGAAGTTGGAGAGTGACAGAACTGACAAATGACAGATCACAGAACTGAGTGAGGCAGGCCTGCCCGTGGGTGAAAGATTAGGGTAAGTGAGCTGGATGAATGGGGGGTCTCACATCGTGACACAGTGAAGTTTTGGAGGTAAGACATTGATGGTGACCATGTCAAGGGGGTAGCCACCGAAGCAGGTAACTGAGGAGGACAAAATCATCACAGGTGAGGCTTACAAATGATGGGCGTCAGATGTAGAAGGAGCTAGGTAAGCAGGAGACCAAAGGCAGGGCACTGCCCTCCCATTGTGGGCGGGAGGAAGAGACCAGGGTGGTGACCACTCTCCAAAGTGGACAAAGGGGATTCCTCCTGGGTGTGGATTCAGATCTACAACCCTAACAACTCACAGAGCAGTGAGAGCAGGGTAGGTCAGGGCGTGGACCAGCCTCCTGTGGAGTGAAATGAGAAAGCCCATCCAGGAAGAAAAATCTAAAAATCTGCGCAAAGAATTCTGGGCCACTGGATGCCCCAGAAAACTACTCAAGGTTTTTCCAACTGTGTTCCAAACCCCCACCTAAAGGAGAGAAAGCCAGCAGCATCATTGCAACACAAGGTGACTGAACGATCCACGGGGCTGGCCCAAGGTCAAGGGGACAGAGCCGCTTGTACCCCTTAGGCCATAGCAGCTCTTCAAGCCTCTGTACCTGTGGCCATTAAGGGACCAAGCTGAATGATGTAGGGCCAGAGGCTCCAGAACCCAAGATTTCAGGACCCCCTTCCTACACTCTGAGATACTGACCTGTGAATTCAGATTTCCACAGATCCACCAGCAGTTGATCACATGCGAGGCAAGGATCTGGCCCCAACTCCAAGCTGGGCTCAATCAACTCCTGCCTCCACCACTTAGCAATTCTACAGCTCTTTAAGTTACAGCACCAGAGCTTAGCAGTGTGTGTCAAGTGACAAATGTTCAGAATATTAGGTTTGACTACTATTCCTTCAAACTTGTGTTTGGTGTCCCAGATTACTCAGGATTCAAATCATCAGTATCCCAAGTACTCTGCTTGTCCATGTGAAGAATGGCCACAAGCATTATGACTTAAAATAAATTGCTATGATTAGGAGTTCAGGAACTCCCCTGAAGGGCTCTTTACTGCCAGATATGTCTGAGTCCCAACAGGAAGATCAACAACTAAAGACCTACTGATGCCTCTCCAAACAAGCTCCTCCTTGGCTGGCTTAGGCTTTATATTACTTTACTTTTCTGTTGCTGTAAAGACTAAAGGGTTTATTGCATTTTACTCCAGGTCGGTAGTCCATGGAGAAAAGAAGTCAGGTCAGGAATTGGGAGGCAGGAATGGAAGCAGAGATCATGGAGGAGAGCTGCTTACTGGCTTGCTCAGCCTGCTTCCTTATACACCCCAGGCTATCCACCCAGGGGTGGGCCCACCTACAGTGGGTTAGGCTCTCCCACATCATTGCCTACAGACCAATTTGATGGTGGGTGGCATTTTTCTCAATTGAAGTTTCCTTTTCCCAGGTGACCCTGACTTGTGTCAAGTTGACAAAAACAAAACAAAACAAAAACAACAATAAAAAACTAAACACCACAGGCTTCAGTGCATCATAGCAGCCTCTGGTCCTGGGTCCCCTTCCCACAGGGCTCAGAATACGGCAAACACTTCCCATCCTCCAAGGGTGGCTCAGCACTGCCTGGGTCAGAGGGGTCAGCAAATCCAATATACAAGGGAACAGGGCACTCATCCCTTCCAGGCAGAAGCGGTAGACAGCTTTCAGTCCCCTTTAACCCACCATCCCAGGGCTGGAGATCTGGAATTGCACAGCCTGATGTGGGCAGGGGTGGAGGAAGGGAGGACTGACTCTGGCCTGTGACCGCCTGGCAGGTACCTGGAGAAATACCTGGAGCGCTTCCTGGATTCTGCAGAGCGGTACTTCATGGTGGGCCAGAGCATGGTGTACTATGTGTTCACTGATCGCCCGGAAGCAGTGCCCTCCATAACGCTGGGCCAGGGTCGATTGCTGCGGGTGGAACCTGTGCAGGGAGAGAGCCGCTGGCAGGACGTATCCATGGCGCGCATGCGCACGCTATATGAGGCTCTGGGAGGGAGGCTGGGGCAAGAAGCTGACTATGTGTTCTGCCTGGACGTAGACCAGCGCTTTACTGGTAACTTCGGGCCGGAGGCGCTGGCAGATTTGGTGGCGCAGCTGCACTCCTGGCACTACCACTGGCCGCGGTGGCTGCTGCCCTATGAGCGGGACAAGCGATCAGCTGCTGCCCTGTCATGGGGCGAGGGCGACTTCTACTACCATGCGGCCTTATTCGGGGGCAGTGTGGCGGCGCTGCGTAAGCTGACGGCCCACTGTGCGCTTGGCCTGCAGCTGGACCGTGAGCGTGGCATCGAGGCGGTCTGGCACGACGAGAGCCACCTCAACAAGTTCTTCTGGCTGTACAAACCCACCAAGGTGCTGTCGCCTGAGTTCTGCTGGGACCCGAAAATTGGCTGGAGGACAGAAATCCGCCACCCTCGCCTGCTCTGGGAGCCCAAGGAGTATGCACTGGTGCGAAACTAGCATGTTCCCCTGGCCAGCCGGCAGCAGAGGCATCTTTGGCACTGCGGGTGTGGAGTGGGGATCGCAAGATGTTTCAAGACCATGAAGGCAGTGAGCACCCAGTTACAGTGCCTCAGGAAGCGGGGCACTGGAAAACTCAGAGATCTTGCAAAAGGGTTCCTGCGCCTGGGTCCGTAGACCCTGTTACCAGTCAGCTGCCCCGAAAGCTCCTTTGCTCTAACCAGATGCAAATTATGCACAGACCAGAGGAAGCTCTCTGGAGCCTACTTTGGCAGCTCTTGTATCCCAGGTGCTGGGGCGGTAGCAGCAGCAGAGGCCAGCTGGTGGGAGTCTCAGCAAGTGGGGCCTTCTAGTGTTAAAACGTTTGCCTAGGTCTTGGGATCAAGGCCTATCGTAGTCCTTGGCAGCCCCTGATGCTGCAGCTTCTGAGTGGGCCTAGGTACCAGGGTTCCCCAGACCTTGCCGGTGGCCAGTGTTACAGCCACTGAACCTTCAGTATCTGAGGCCATTCCCGGCACCAGGGCCTGCGGGTTCTCTTGGTCCTCAGTTCTTTATCCTCTCTGCTTCTGCCGAACCTGTTTATCCTCTGCCCCCTCTTGCTCTGCTGCCTCTCCCCCCACTTCTGCAGCTTTCCTGGCTGACCCAGTGAGCACTTCCCTCCCCTTCAGCTCCCAAGCAGTTGGCTGCTTTGTCGCTCGTGTAGCTTGGCCTGCTGGTCACCACTGCTATGCTGTCCCTTTCTTCACGTTACTAGATCTGCCCTCACCCTTAAACGTTGGCAAGACCGTTCAAGAGAAGCCTTTTATGGGCCTAACAGTGCAGTGTCAGGGAAGCAGCCCAGGAGTGCCATCCACCTTCCCCACCCCCACCCCTGCTGCTCACTAGGAGCAGCCGAATGTCTACTTCCATAGCCATAAAGGAGACGCTTGAACCAACCCAGCCTTACTTCTCTGCGGTACTCACAGGAGTCCCTTCTGCTAGACCTCCTCTCTGTATGGGAATGGTTATGGAGTCTTCTAGAGTTCACAAAGGCTTTGACTGGGGAAGGGGGGGAGAGGTCGATGGGGATAGGAGATGGGGGGGGGGGCTGTTTCAAATGACCATGGCTAAGGCTGTGCCTTCAGGAGCAGGTCACCAGCTGTGACTGTTGTGTGGCATTCTCGAGGTGTTGGTGGACTGGGCAAGATGACTGCTGGCATGAGGGTAGTCTGGATGGCTGTTTGGCTACTGGTCCTTTGCTTGGGCAGCAAGGGAGAGTCCGACACCTGCCAATGTGGGAGTCAGGTTGCCCTCTCCACTATGGTTTTGCTTATATACAGGACAGCGAACATCAGAGGGAATGCTTACAATAAGGAGCAGTACTTTAAAGAAATGTTTGACATCGCTTAACACTACCCAGGGTTCCAGGAAGGGATGTGTCCCCTTCCCCTGGTTCCTTTCACCTCTGACCTTACTGAGTGCATCTGTTGACACAAAGAGAGACCAAAACTGCCCAGACACAGGATCTGTTCAAGTTCTTGGGATGTCAGCAGCAAGAGAGTGAGGTAGTCCCTCTTGCCCAGTCCAAATCCCCTCAGGAACTAGCCACTGAGAAAGGACAACAGGCACTCCAGTCAGGCGCTCTGTCGTGCTATCTCCCCCAACTGCAATGTAGCTTGTGCATATCTGAGGAATACTGTAATAAACAAGTCATTTCAAAATGATGCTTAGAGTATTTTCCACTGTAGAGTGAACCACGTTGTAAAAGGAAAAGAAAAGAAGGAAAGAGGAAGGAGGAGGAAGAGGAGGGGTTGGATTTCCTCAACCACGCCTGCACTACTGTTTTCATTCTTTGTAAGAAAGACAGGGTGCTAGGGAGATAGCTCAGTTAACTAAATGTCTGTGTCTGGATCCTCGGGACACATATCACAGCAGGCATACTGGCACATGCAGAGACAGGATGATCCTGGTTGAATTAGTGAGACACCCTGTCTCAAAAGCTGAGAAGCAAAGGAGGAAGATACCCAACATCAATCTCTGGTTTTTCCATGCACACACACACACACACACACACACACACACACACACATGCACACTCATGCATGCACCCACACGCACGCACACATACACATACACTTGTGACAGGCATTTTACTAACTGAGCCATTTGCTCCACTTGCTGACTTTGTACGTTAGCAGCCTCCACTGCTCTCAAGAAGGGCGGACACCCCAGCTCTTTGTCTGGCTCAACCCTGATGGTGTTTTACAATCTGCTGCTGTTTGCAACCAGGCTCTGTTATCGATGCCAGCACTGAGCAGTCCATCCTTTCAGGTTCCCAGGGTCTTCACCTGCACCAGGTGAACAAACTTCAAGCCCCTTGGACTCTGAAGGTGGGACTGGATGGGCGGAGTGTGTTTAAAGGCAGGTGGGTGCTGGGTATCAGCTGGCACAGTCCTTCCTCTCATGGGACAATGTTTGCCCTCCACCTTGCCCTGTAACATTCACCAGTTCTAACAAGCTCTGCCCCACTGGAGAAATGACCATGAGCCCGGAATGTCTTGTGAACCTTCCCTTTTGTGAACTCTGTGTGATACAGAATAGTTCCTTACCTGTGACGGGTGTTAGTTTACTCACAGGAAATGTGGGGAAACCAGGAGTCCTCCTTACAGTGTGGGGGGGTACCACGATGTTTCAGAAAACAATTTGTGCTCTCCCTCTCTCTGCCTGTCCCCACTGCAGGCAAGCTCACAGAGTGGGAGGGATTCTCCTAAGAACGGAGGATACCAGGTTTATAGGAGTAAGGGGCGTGAGCGAGGATTTCCAAGATCCATGCTCTGGGCAGCCCTGTGCTGCTGAGGAAGACCCGCTGAGGAGCTGGGAGGATGCAGGAAACTGCAGGGGTGAAATAGGAGGCCACCTTCTTGAGAGCAGAAAGGAAGGAAAACCTCACTTCCTCAGAGTGAGCCACCACTGTCCTTGGGTCTACAGAACTTGCCCATGCATTCCCAAGGGAGGAGACGAAAATCAGAATCTCGGTTCCACGAGCACCAGTGCTACAGACAAAATCCCGTGTGGCTCAGGTACCCACTGCTGTACAGGTGCTACCCAGAAACTCCCCAACAGCTCCAGCTGTCTAGGGACCAGAAGGCCTGGGCCAAATGCTAGCAAGGTCCAGACTTACATGCAGGGCTATTGATGCTGACCCTACTAAGTGGTTACTATTACCGATCTCATTTGACACAAGATGCAATCCGGCACAAGTAACTAACTCATTGTCACACCACCAGTAGCTTAAATCCCTGAAGGCCAGAACAGGAATGAAATACAGCAAGAGACTGAAGACCGGAAGTCTCAGGAACTGAGGCGGCCACTGTTCTAGTCTTCTCTGGCTATTTCTACATTTTCTGCCTCCTTTGTCTTCTGCTTGAGTCTGGCCAAACACAGCCACTCCAGCACCTAGTCTCTAGAGTTTTCCAGCTCAGCTGCCTTTACATAATACTTCCTGATATGTGGAATGGAGACGCTGACAGGAGAGGCTGGTAAAGCTAGCAACCGGCTCTTCAAGAAGACAGAGATAGCCAGGTGGTGGCACACACCTTTAATCCCAGCACTTGGGAGGCAGAGACAGGCGGATCTCTGTGAGTCTGAGGTCAGCCTGGTTTAGAGAGAGAGAGTTCTAGGACAGGCTCCAAAAGCTACACAGAGAAACCCTGTCTCAAAACAACAAAAAGAAGATAGAAGATGGCTCCGTTATCAAATGCTTCCTGTGCAAGCATGCAGACCGGAGTTTGATCCATGGGACACACATAAAAATGCCGAGTGTGGCCCATGGCAGCCATTCCAGAGCTGCAGAGGCAAAGAGAGGCAGATTCCTGTGCTCCAGTCAGTCAGTCCTGTCAGTGAGCCTCACAGAAGTGAGAGCGCCTGCCCCCCCCCAAAATAAAAAGACTAAGAAAGTGGACAGAGCCTGAAGAAGGGCACTCAGGGCTAGCCTTTGGCCTCCACACTGACAGACACAGGAACAGGTCATAGTTGATTACAACCCACCAACACTCCTCAGTGTGTAAATGGGAAGAGGTGTGCACCATCCATTCTTACCAGCCAGGGCAGAGAGTCACTGCACCACTGGCTATCCCCCCTCCCTGTGTGTGAGTGAGTGTGTGTGCTGACTGAGTCAGGTGGCTGCCTCTGGCCGAACAGCTGTGGATACACGAGTAATGGGGTAACATGACACAGATGCGGCTTTAGAGCCTGACACAGACATGGCTGTCTTTCTAGCATAGCTCTTTCTGGTATAGCAGGACACAAAGGTCAACCTTAGAGAAACACCCAGGACCTGTGAGGTTACCAAAAACATGGTGGTTCTGTGTGAGTCCACACCAATTCTCAGTTCAATGGTAAAACATTGATATCATATCAATATAAGTGCACCCCAGAAGGCTCGGTCCTCAAGGGTGGAGCCAGCTCCTGGGGCATGACTGTATCCTGAGGGCTCTGACCCAGGCAATGGATTCATCCATTCAGACTCATAATTTGATGGCATTTGCAGGGAGCCTGGTTGGAGGAAGCAGGTCCCGAGAGCGCTTGGATGGGCATGGTGCCTCTCTCACCTTTCTGTCTCTAGGGTGAGCACCTGTGCTCTTCCGCACCCTTCCATTGGGGATGCTCTGCCCCTGACAGACCCAGAGACAAAGAGCCAGCCAACCGTGGGCTGTGCTGCAGATAGAAACCATCAGCCCATCTCGCCTCCTTTAAACCATCTGGCATTTGTCACAGGATGAAAAAAGTCTGCAACACACACACACAAACATTTCTAACAGAGAACTAGGCCATTGCTGTGACTATCTGAGGCCTTTGGGATGGGTTTAAGGGAAGAATCTGGAAAAGTTACTAGAGGTTTCAACAAAGACTAGAATGCTATAGACAGAGCTCATGGGAAAGTCTGCTGGGAGCTTGTAAGACCAGAATAAGGACAGGACTGTGACAGCAAAACCCGGTGCTCTCTGGGTTTCAGAGTGGAACGGGCACACTGTTGGCAACTGTACTGGAGCTCACTCGTGTTACATTCAGACAGGATATGCCCATTTTTCCTCCTACATCCACACCTTTCAACACTGGTGCATGGCCCCACACAGGCCTAGAAACAATAGAAGGCATGTCTTGTTCCTGTTCCTTCCTCTGTCTCTCTGCTTCCTGGCTGCCACGGAGTGAGCATCTTCCACTAAACAGCCCTCTGTCCTCAGTGTTCAAGCCTCAGGCCCACAGTGATGGCCAAGAGCCAATGGGCTAAAACCATAAGCCAAAAGCAGTCAGTCCTCCTATGAACTGTCCCACTGACAGTCTAACACACATTCTTGCTTCCTTCCCGGGGAGATGTGCTTCAGGTAGGGGCTCTGTGATGACCCGGACCTGAGTCACCTAACTCCACTAGGTACCTCCACAGGGCCAACCTGGATAAACTTGGGGGATTCATTCCTGTATTTTCCTTCTGCTCCTCCTAGACACCAGCACACAGTCTCCGCCATGGAGGAAAGCCTACGTTTTCCTATCCCAACACTAGAACAGCTTCCATAAATGAGGCTCTTGTGACGGACGGCCAGAAGGTGGAGGGAAAACACAACCTCGTACACCCAACGCAAGTTTCAAAACTAGGAAAACTGGGTACGTGCAGCACCCCTGCCACTCAGCTTCTCTTGGGTTGCAGCAGGGCATTATGGAGCTTCCCAGCACAAAGCACGGAAGCCAACAGCAAGTGGCCACCGGCCTCCCTTTCCAATCCTGGGGCAGAGTAGTACAAAGGTGGACCAGCCCGCTCTCCCAAGGCAGCACCAAGCACTCTGTACACCGCCACCGCCCGGGTGCAGGTTCGGTTTATTCTTCTTCACATCAGAGATATACAAAGAGCAGAGGGGTTGCCTCCCTTTGGCTCTCGCCCCTCTAGTGCTCCTCATTTGTTTAGCTTCACCCCTTCTTTAATAGAGCCTAAGCTGCTCTCCTGAAGCTCCGAGGGCCACCGGCCCTCGCCTCCCTGCCACCACGATGCAGACTGAGAAGCCAACAGACCGTTTTCTCTTTTTTAATAAGGTAACTATTTCTAAATATGGTGGCCTGGAGGTCCCATAGAAAAAAAGCCAAGGGTGTTAACAGCATTGGAACAGCATATTTACAGGGTAGTAACATGCGGACGAAAAGCTACAATACTGAGTATCAGACGACGCAAGTCAAACAAAGGGATTGGGGTGGGGGGACAGGGAACCCCCAGTGGAAAAGAAACCCCAGGAAACGTTAAACTGGTAAATCAATGGCGAGTTAAGGCTTAAAAAGTGTATAAAAATAACACAGTTAATATTCAAATGGACTCCAGATACAGAATATATAGATGAGTTTTGTCTAGTTTTCTTCTTCTCTGGGGGGAGGGTGTGGAAGGGCTTCTCTGGGCTCTGTACATAGTTCCTATATACACGGACACGCATGGCTTTCGGATTGGGATGTCTGGGGGAGCCGGGGGCAGGGCCTGCTCCTGGGACCTCCTTTGGAGGATCTTATCCCTGCCGCAGGGCCCGGGGTCTGGGTTGGGGAGTCCCCTTCTGTGGCGAGAAAGACAACCCCTCCCTGGGCACTGTCCCCTTCTGGGGTGAACTCTGAAGGAGGTCTTAGCCCCAGGCCCACTCCATCCCTATCCCCCTGCCCACAGTCTGGAGTGGTGGGAGAGGTAGCCGATAGG